CAAGACTTCTGAGCCCATAGATGAGCCCATGGTGGTGCGTTGCCCACAACTTTGCACGCTGCTCCTCTTATGGTGATACCATGAGCATAAAGATTGCAGTCAGGAGTGGGGAAGACAATGTTTTATCATTCATGCTGGCTGGTTTTGGTAACCTGCTGAAACTAAGTTGGTCTTGAAAGTGTGATTTTTAACAAGAAATAGGATGCTAATCAGGCTGCAGCAGCTGTGCCTTCCCTTTGGGGCTATGTGAATAGTAGGTTCTGGCAAGGTCACTGAAGCAGAGACACTGATACTCTTTTCTGGCCCTGAAAGTCAATCTAATGTTGAGGCATTGTTGACAGAACTTGTCAGTGACTCACAGCAGACGTTTCAGATACCGTGTTTTAATAGCGACCTGCAAAGCCAATGTAAGTGTTATGTGTTTGCTTGCAAGGGATACAGTCAGAAATCCTCCAACCCCTTAACATTTGCTTAAGTTGAATTAAATGTAACGAAGCATTTCTGAATTGGATTGACAAATATAACTTGTCTGCCCGAGACTAAAAAAGCTCCACAATGCAGCACGTCTGTTGTGACCATCTGTAGCTATGTCTACCTTCAAGATTTTAAAAGCCACTTGGAGAGGTATCTTGATCCAATAGAGATTAACATGTTTATCTTGTGTGGATCTTGTTTGGCTTTAGTTGTACAGGGCAGTAGCATCATCATGGGCACTGCAGGCAGAGGAACCCTACCCAGTGAGTCACCCTATACAGTCCTTACATTGCTGGTGCCCACATAAAGAAAACTTGGTCCTTGTAAGTCTCCAAGACCTTGGGATTTAAGGATTAATAACTCTTATTCCATATGTCTCCAAACACTACAGTTGGGAATGATTTGGATAACTGATGCGTGCACTCCATAGTTTCCACTCTTGCTTAAAGCTTGCTGAAGTTTTTCTCTTGACATGTATAACCTTTACAGGGTTTAGCTTAGCTCAGCCCAAAGATGGTTTTGTGTGTAAATTCATTTGGGACTGAGAGAAGTAATATGACTATCTACTAGACTTTCTGCTCTCTGCCTGTGTCATTTGGGCTCAGTACATAATACAGTGGCAGTCTGTGATTTCTTCTTTTCGAGCAGCAGTGGAGGATGGTGTGCTATTCTTTCAGTATTGCGGTGGTTAGATTGCTTGTGTGTGGTTGTTGCTTGCTCTGGAGGTATTTAAATACATGTTGCTGACATGTGCAGCAAAAGCCTCGCCTGTTTCTATCATGCAGGAGGTTACAAGTCACCTGTGATTCGATTTAACCCCTGGCTTCATGGGGCTTGGCACAGGATGCTGGGTTACCATGTGCACAGTAGGTATTGCAAGGCTCAGTCACACTGTGTGTTTCTCCTTTTAGATCTGTTCTTAGACACTCTTACAACGTTTTCCTCTTCAGTGGTGGGTGGGATTTCTGGAGTAACTGCCAGTAATGGGTTTGCATATGTTGAATCGCAGCAAGCGGCAGAAGGGATAACAACACTGTAAACTCTTCCTGGTGTGCTCTTTCACTTGGGAGTGCTGTAAATAGGAGACACACTTAAAATACTGAGGATTCGGATCTGCCAGCTGTTCCCATGCCCAGTATGACACTTGTGCACAAGCCTAGTGCTCAAAGTTGGCAAACCTCTCCTGGCAAGGAGGTGCTCTGGTCTGCAGGAGTTTTCCAGGACTTTTCCTGGCACGGGAGTATCCTGGAGAGGAAGCTGGATGGTGAAACAGGCCTGAAAAGCAGGGATGTTGCAAAAGAGAGGCAAAAATCTCATGGAAAGGTTTTGTGCTCTGTGGGTTATTCAGTGGGGATGATGGGGAGGTTGGAATGTTGTCAGGAAAACTAGAAACCGCTGTGGTGGCCAGACCAGTTGATGTGTGGACTGTTGTAGCACAGGCGCCTGCTTCCTGGTGCTGAAAGTTTGATCTATTTTACACAAAAAATAACCAAGCTGCTGCAGCTTCTGCTGCCTGTGACGCAGCTCTCTTCCAGACCTGCTCACATCAGCTAGCAGAAGTCACATGTATTTCGCATGAATTCACTCGTCTGAGCATTAGGTCAGACAGAGCCATGGGTGGATGCTGGAGTTGGGTTTCCTGCCCTTTGCCCTCGCTGTGCCCTGTCACCACACCCCAAGGAAGCATCTCAAACACTTCTGCTTGCACCCGCTATGTCAAAGCAGCAGCAGCCTCCTGCAGTGAGCAAACACCAGGTTTCTGGCTGGTTTTGGCATATAACCATGGCTGGTTTTCAAGGTGCTCTGCGAGCGTGTTGCTGACATCAGCCTCAGATTGACCCAAGGACTAAGCAAAATGCTTAGTTTTTCTCCTAAGTGCTGTTGTCTGTGGTATTCAGTTTGCCCTCCCATTTGGTTCCTGTCCTCGCACATTCATGACGATGCTTAGCAGTACTCTTACATTATGAGCAGGTAGAAATTCACATAAGACCACTGGTGTTTAATGAGATGGTTACAAAACCACAAGGCAGGCTAAGCATTTTAGTTTGATGTTTATATATGGTCAATTCAAGTGAACCCTTCCAGAAAGAGATGGTTTTCATCACAGCACTGCTGCTCTGGAGCTGCACTTATCTTCTCCTGCATAATGGGAATCAGTGAGGCTTTTGTAGTGCCTCTCATGAAGCCTCTTTATCTTGCCAAATGCAAGTCCTTCAGCACATGCAGTCAGAGGTGAACTGAAGACACTGGGTTGCCGGTGGTGATCTTCATTTTATGTCCTGACAGAGGTGCAGAATGACATTCGGGAAGGTATACTGCCATTCTGTGCTGTAACAGAAATACAGATTTAGAAGAATAGAGTTCATGTACTAAAAGGGCAGTAATTAACAGCATAGAAATGAGCTATTGCTTTTGATTCATCTAATCTCATCAGAGGAAAATAAAAGAAAAGCTAATGAAGAAAATTAAGGAGTCATGGGGTAAATAATTAGAAATTGAGAACACAATCTAAATCTACCTCTACTGGGATTTCTCTTAAAGTGGTCGCTTTTCTTCTGGCCTTTCCTGTTAACCACCCTTTGTGGCAGTTGTCTGGTTTTTGCCACTGTTAACCACATCCCATAGTATAGTCCTGCTCTTCCTGTGCTGCCCCAAGAGTTCCTTTACTCCTGTCTCCCTGCATCATAATATCCTTGTTAGCTCCACATGGCACAAGTGGAAGCTCCTAAATACTTGTTCACATCATGTGCTAGCCATAACCATTCTGTGATTCTATGTAACTGACTTCTTGTCCATCCTGAGTGCCTGTCAGCTCTCCTTCAGTGAAAATAAAATGGAATAGCAGGGAGCAGGAAGGGGAATGCTCTGAGTATTGGTGTTACTTAACTGATGTGTGTAACTGGGTGTCTGGTTTCATGGATGAAACTTGATTTCTGCCAGGTATGTCACCATCTGCAAAATGTCAAGAAGCCAAGTGTAAATCATAGTGTGAGCTGTGATTGAAAGCATCTAATTGGGTTTTTTCCCCATGTAAGAGATTATAAATCGAATATAAATTCTAATAGTTCACAAGCCAGATTGAGCTCTCTTACTGTTAGACCACTGCCTTATTACCCTTAGGCATGGTAATACAACCAGCACAGCTCAAGGGTTTCATGCAGCTCTTTTGCTAAGGAGCTAGACGGAGCAGAACGTGTACCTGTGTTCTGCCGCTGTAGTTCACTTTGACATTTTAGCTGAAACCTGTCTGCGGTGATAATTTCATAAGATCAAACACAGGGCTTCCTTCCCACTGGTTGTTGTAGAACAGGGGTGATGCGCTGGGGATAATCTGCAAAGCCTTTGCAGCAAGGTTCACCAGAGCTTGTCTGTCAGAGTGCGGTGAGGTAAGCTGGTGCCTTGGAATAACAAGTGAAATGTCCAAATCTCCTATTTTTCCAAGTCAAATCTAGGCATGAAAATGAAGAGTTTGTAATTTAACTAGTCAGGCAAATAACGGCTGTGTCCCAGATGCTGAGATGCCTGATAGCCCCGCAAAGGTTACTATGCCAACCGTTGCTTTTTGGTGGTGGTTTGGTTTGATTGAGCCATTAATGAGACTCTAAACCTCTTGCCCTCCAAGGAAGAAAGCTGCTTTTTCTTTCTAGGAAGTTCTAGCCTATGGAGTTCTCTCTGCAGGTCACAAGGAATTAAAAGGGGAGAACCTCAACGTTCTTTGTGTAGCTACATCTGCAGTAATGATACTACAAATGACTTCTGTTTGTACTCTGCCAGCATATTACAACATAATTGAAAACTCCTTTTTGGAGGTGTTCTTTTCTTGACTCTAAAACCTACTTAGACACACTATATGTGTGTATATATATATATATATGCCCTTGGATTTTGGGGATGTCTGTATTTGAAATGTATCATGGGTTTTGTTCCACACTAGTCTCTTTGATCCTGAATTTACTCCCCCTTTCATTTGCTAACATGTTTCCAAAGCACACCCATTGCCTTTGAATTCCAGGAACAACATCACAAAAAGAAGAGCTTTAATGGTGTTCAGTGGAGGCTGAGGCCTTCTGTAGAATTTGCTTTCAAGTTGAGCAGCCAGAGTCTTAATAAATGACCTTCTAAATCTTATTTTGATTTTATTCAGGTATAGGAGTGTGCTCATTAATAATGATTTCAGCAGTAGGTCTCCCATTACAGCTTTTTTGTTAATTAAATAGGATGTAAGATGTATTGGATGTTTCCAAAATGAAAATGGGAGGTTTTAATAGATTCACTGATTAAGAATACTGGTCTGCATACATGATGGTGCTGTGAAAAAAAAAGCATCACTTGACAGCTATAGATAAAGTACTGTTCTATGGCAAGAAAACTTGCTTCCTTCCTCACGCCTTTCAGGTTAAAAACTACTTCTTTGTGATGGTTTTACCCTAAGGAAGATGTTTAATATCCTCTTACAGGAAGGGGAGGCTGTTAAGGAAAGGTTTCACATGTTGTGTATTTAAGACATCCAATCTTTTGTTTAAAAGGTATCATACGTGAGGCAAAAGAAAGACCCTTACTTTGGTGATGGGCAAAGGAAAAAGGACTGGCATAACAAAGAAGCCATAAGGAGGGACTCTGAGCGTGTAGGTAAGACTCCTATAATAATGTTTTAATACATGCTGTTAATTAGTTTGGTTTTATTTGGTAGGTTGAGTGCAGAAGAGCATGTTCAACCTCAGGGTCAAGATGTTCTTGACCCGATGCAACAATTATTGTGTGTTAATCCCAGTTAAAGCCTGTTCCCCTAACTCCACAATAACCATTTTGAGTGAAAATATCTTGGTAATGTTTTGGTATTTTTAGCATAGGTGCAACATGATTTTTTAAAAACCTTTCAAAAAATGTGAGTCCGCACCTCTCCCAAGTATGGGAGATGCAGAAAGGAAGAAGAGGGGTAAGAAAAATGTTCGAAATTATAACTTCTGCAAGTTTTAGTCTGTATTTTTGGGTTTTGTCTCACATTGCGTAAAAGACCTATTTTGAATGTCACAGCATTACACTGGTGCGTCTGCAAGGGCTTTACCTCCCCTGTGCAGGAGCTCAGGTTGTTAAATATACATACCCATCTGTGCTGAAGAAAGCAATAGTGATGAGGTATTTAAACCATATGCATTCTTTCTGCAGTGAAGCAAAAAGCGTTCTATAGATCCTCCACAGTGTTGCCATAGCCCCTTCATCTGTTTCTGATGTTAGAGGGAAGACTTTAGCTTCCATGATTTGCACAGCTGAGTGGTTTGTAGGAAAACTGCTTATCAAACAAAATGGTTAGGTTGGCACGGTTGCCCCAGTGCTAAGTATGACACAGAGCTCAAAACTAATTGAGGAATTCTCAAAGGGCTATGACTGCTTTTCTTCTGATATATGGATTAATTTCTGGCCAGTTAAGCACCAATTAGTAGTAATGATGCCTGTTTCTTTTCTGTCTATAGGAAATGGAGAACAGGGAAAACCTTATCCAATGACTGATGCAGAGCAAGTGGACCAGGCATACAGGGAAAATGGCTTTAATATCTTTGTGAGTGATAAAATTTCTCTAAATCGTTCCCTTCCAGACATCAGACATCCAAAGTGAGTATATAGTTCACATGTCTATGGATGAAAGTTTACAAGCTCTAAACTGCCATATCTGCAGAAGTGCTCTTTTTTTATGATGGACTCTTGTACCTTTGTTCATCAAATACAGTCCTTTCACAGCTGGGTCCTGCTGTCTCCTTAATAAAGGGCAGTGTAGAGTAGTTGCAATGGGAAATAAAGGAGACTCAAGATTTGAGTACTCGGTTATATATGAAGAGTTTTATCAGAAATCCTTCTGAGTTGTGGGTCAGTTTCTTAGACATCTTCCTCATAAAAACCTCATCAGGGTTTACAAGTAGAAACTGGTTCCAGTTGAGTGCTACCTTTTGAGTTCATCTATTTTGGGATGTTATCTATTTGGATGGTGTCAAACTGGATTTTGTGCAAGCCAGAGGGAGTTTTTCATTATCAAAAGTGCTTCAGATGGGATTTAACCCTTGTTCATACAAAGCTGAGAGACTTTTAAATACTCTTTGTGCAGTTGTTAATCTCAAAGCATTGTTAGACATTTGAATGGGGGCTTGTTTTGTGTGAAGCCCCTTTTGTCGCAGCTTAGTGAATCTGAATTCAACATCTCCTTTATTCGTGAGATATGATTTCCAGAAGTCAGGTTTTATAATTTATTAACTGCACATTTGAGATATTACCTCTTCAGCTGTCACAGCAAACTAATCAAATACACTGGCTTGACACCCTTTCTCAATATATACTCATAAACCAGAGTAGTGAGTATAGCTCCATAAATATTTTAGGCATGCAGCTGAAATATTCAAACATAGAGATAAATCAGGTAACTGAAGATGCTTGTTGATCAGCCCATGCTCAAGCTCTAGGAAATACGGTTTGAGTTTGCTAACCTAACTTATACCTGGCCTCCATTTATAGGAGCTGAGAATTTAAGCATCAGACGGTGCCAGTATTTCCTCATCTGAGGATGTAATATATTGCCTCACACATATTCCCCATTGTTTCCCAAAGTTGCTGACTCCTCTTTGCTAATTCTGCTATTTAAACTCTTTTAAAACATGAAACTTCTGTCTCCAGTCCCCAGTTAAAATTAATAAGTAAAGTGTCTGGGGCACCAAAGACTTAAACTGTGATTAATGATGCTGCTGCAGCTGGTTTGCTTGCTGCTTGACACATTCTTTCCCCCAGCGTAGCGAGTTATAATTGTGGAAGTCTCAAGGAGAGGATAAACAGCGTGTGTACAACGGACGCTGGGATTAGCTGGGCAGGGAGTAGAGCTATGTGTAATGGAGATTTGCAGTAAAGGAATTCATGACTGAAAAGGTCTGCTGTGCATTCCCCGGGCCCATTAAATAAGATATACTTAAAATGGTGTGGTTTGTGTTATTTGGGAGGTTGATGAGAGCAATTTATAATGAAGTTAGGCTGAGACAAAGTCCATAAGGAGCATTCTAGAAGGAAGAGAGCTGTGTTTTAGAGCACTTGCTTTACCTAGACTTTTATATATGGTAAGAGATAATACACTTTCTCTTTTGGGGATGTGCCTGCAGACAGCAGGGTGTATAAGGAGAAGGTGATGTCAGGGAAACTGCAGCATCTGTCCTGTCCTATGCTTTGGGACCACAGTTGGGATTCTCCCCGGCAGCTGACATGGATGGCGGAGAACAAAAAGGAAGTTAGTGTGTTTGCTCTCATCATAGATGGTTAGTGTGGACCCTTTATATGCCAAATAGTGCCACCTCTGCTTTCTGCTAATCATGGGAATCGAGCATGGGGAAGGGCATGTACTGGATCTACCTGGTACACACATACGATGTTTGTTTCAACAGACATGTCTGCTAACATTTTCTTTAAGTGCTTCTGGGTTTTTTAATATTAAATACTAATTTTGCAGGTCTTGTAAAGCAATTGTAGATGTAGCTGGAGGGAAACAATTTCTCTTCATGCTTAATGAATAAACTTCATAGCTGAACTTTCCCAGTTGTTAAAGTTGGTCAGAAAATGAGAATTCCAGTTCAAGAAGAGTTAGAAGATATTTGAGGGCTCTTGTTTCATATTGGAACAGAATTAGAGGTAGCAGCTCTCTTGGAAAAAGGGCTAAGATTGCCATGCCAAGGGCTGGATGAAAGCACTCCATGCAGCTTTATTTTGCGTCTTGCATCTGTGCATTGCAGCCATAGTCTGCAAGCGCTTGGCAGCACCCCAAAGCAATTCATTAGACACAGAATAAGCTACTGTCCTTTCACACAGACACCAGAGTAACTTCCTGTAAGCACAGATTTATTTGTCTAACATAGGTGCATCCTTCCCCATTCCCTGGGAAAAGTACCTGGGAAAAGCTGCACTGCCAGAGCTGCTTTCCTTCCCATCTGCCCTTCAAGGAAGCAGGGAGGGAATCACTGTGTGCATGCTGTGCTATGCTGTGCTTTCGCTACTGCTGTGCACGTAGTGAAAGCCTCACTGAGTGCCTGGCATGGGAAAGCCTGCAAATCAGTGCTGCTACCGTGCTAATGCAAGAGGTCCAGTGTTGGGCAGGGCAGGGAGAGCAGTATGTTTGCTCTATGGCTTTAGATGTTACCTGTTTAACAAGGTTCAAACTCCACTTAGGGCCGTACGTGTAGGGAAAATAAACACTGCACTTCCTGTGCAGTTTGAGCTTTCTTCACGAAGCTGCCTCGAAAACACCCCATAAAGCAAGGGAACATTATTTCAAAATTAAGATTAATGCTGTGGGGAAATACCCCCAAATTCAAGGGTTTCATATGGGCTCTCTGCAGACAACTCTCCAGCTTTATCGAAGTTCTACTTTGCTATGTGTCCAAAGTCCGCCTTCTCCACTTCTATCTGTAGACCTGATCCCGTGTGTCAGACAAGACATGCTGAAAAATGGGAAGGCAAGATTGATTGCTTAGGAAAATTGAACTGAATAATTGTCCCTCATGACAAAGGAAGCCTTTGGTAGAGGTTGGAGGTAGATCTATTATTACTGAGTGAGGTGGTTTCCTGTATTGAGCAGTTCTTAGAGTCTTTACTTCCTGCAGATTTTGTTTAAAAAAGACTATTAAAATTGGATGGCAGTTACATATGTGATAAGAGGATTTTGCTTCCCAAAAAGATGGGAATAAACAAGCTTAACCAATGTACTGATAATGCCTTCATGGGATGCATTCAACTTCTGAAACAACTTTGTAGAAATTCCTCTTCCTAGTGATCTTTGAGGCATACGGGCAGTGAAACATATATTTTAGAGACTCCTGTATCCTAAGCTATAACTGGAGCTTCTTTTAAAAGCAGCTTCAGCACCTAATAGATCACTGTAACTTTCTGTGTTGCTAAGCATCACTGGCTGTTAACAGTCCCTGCTCCTTATGGAAGTCTCTATTTTCTTTCCTGGTAGACGAGATCACGGCACTACTGGCTTGAAAGTTGGTGGTTTGTTTTTTTTTCCAAGCACTTTGCTTCAATTTGGGGAGTAAAGAATGCGCTAAGTTACTTGATGGTAATTCATATGCAAGTGTTGGTGGTTATTGGCACTGCCTTTTGACTTCCTCTCTTTATGTCCAGCTGCAAGAATAAGCTGTACCTGGAGAAGCTCCCGAACACCAGTGTGATAATACCATTCCACAATGAAGGATGGTCTTCCCTCCTCCGGACAGTGCACAGTGTCCTAAACCGCTCCCCGCCTGAGCTGATAGCAGAGATAGTGCTGGTGGATGACTTCAGCGACAGAGGTATGACCATTTGTACGTAACTTCACCATGCTTACCTAGCTATGCTTACCTAGCTGAGAAATCAATTCCCCTGGAAATATGTGTATAATAATTTAAGCTTTTTACTTGCCAACAGCACAGCTCAGGTAGAACTCAAGGTCCATATTCAGCTTATGCCAATTTAGCTGCTGATGGCATAGGCTATCCTGCATTTTGGACAATGTGAATGAACAGGGAAGCTGGTTTTAATATTCTGCTAAGGACCTGTATAGCCCTTAACCTCAGGATTAAGCACTTGAAGCTTGGAGTAAAATACAAAGTGGGGAACAGCTCACTCCTCACATTCTGCATTATTTTTCTAGACACAGAAAATGGTAAAAGAAGCCTCGATAATAAAAGGTTTCTGCCTTGACTGCCTATGATTTGGCTTTTCACCTGAATTTTGTGCTCCTGAAAAGTAAATCTGCAACATCCAAAGCTTTGACTGCTCTCACTTGCTGACTTGCTTGCAACTACACTCTTTATTTTGTACTGCATTGCCAGGAGTAGTCACTTTGGATTGGGTTTAAGTGCTATGTGCAAAGACGTGTAGTCAGTGTCATAACACATCACCACAAATGAAACAACCACTTATAATTGCAGCAGCAGTGTGTAGATGTAGTTGCTGAATTTACTTGTTCTGTAGCAGAAAGGCAAGGGATTTTTTTTCTCAGACATTTAAATGCTATGTGATATAATTAAGCTAGACATTGTCTTGTAGTTTGTGCCCTTGCTATGGTGAAAAAGGCAATCGAGTGAAGGAGGAATGAATGCCTCAATCATGTAGACACTGCATAGCTAGAAAGATCACATGGGAAGTCCTCTGAAGTTAGCTGGTGATCTCCTGTGCTGAGGAGGGTGCAGTGACTTCAAGGGCTTATGACTGAATCCAGCAACTCTAGTTTCTCCTTTAAAATTAGTAAGACTATTTAGCTTCATGAGCTTCAGAGTTCAAGAGTTGTGCCACTGACATTACTCAACTGGGGGAAAGAGCTCTCTACACAAATGCTGAAGGATACACCTCCAAAAATCTGGCATGTAGGAAGCTCCTAAAATGAGCTTGAAAACATTGTGCTTGAATACTTGTGAGTATTCAGTGTTCTGACCTTCCAAATAAGCACCACACAACGGCTATAGTATTTGTTCTAAAGTACATCTCTAACTAGTTTCAAGCAAGGCATGCTGGTTTGCACAAATCAGTGTTACATGAAATAAGTATGTTTTTCGAGGATTTTCAGACTAAGCTGGGGGGGAAATCCAACCCAAACACCCTGCTAGCAAGGTATCTTTAGTGCTATTCAGTCTAGAAGCAAACTAGACAAGCTCATGCTGTAATCCCATCTGAATTGTACAAGCAGGTTTCTTTTGAGAGAAGTGGGAGTAATGAAATCTGGTTTCCTGTGGATCTGTTTTCCTTGTTCTCTAAATGTGCTCTTCTGACCAGGCAAAAGAGAGCACTCCTGGCTCCCCACCCCTGTTCCTCATCAGTCTGTACACGTGCTGTTCATCCAGCTTGCTTTTGCTGTGTTCCACCTGCCTCTGATAAGATGCAAGCTCTTTTCCGTCAGTCATCCATCTTTCATCAGGAAGTAGCTGAGATTAATTTGTGTGCAGCATCTATTTATAGATGGTTATAAAAGACTACCGGTGTTGGACAGTGAGCTAAATTGTCAAGGGAAGAGAATGACACACAGGCAAAGAGAGTGCTCATAGAACTTCTTGGTTTAAACAAGTGTTTTTCCTGCTTGCTCAGTTGATCTCTGCTTGTTGGGACAATTACTGGTTAGGATGAACACTTTTCCTTTGCTGTCAGTTCTGTATTTGCACTGTAGCGTTTCCTGCTGGCTGCTGCTCCTTTACCAGTAGTCAGTGTTCTTCCTTAACCACCCTGGGGTTGGCTTCCATATCCCTCTTTAGGTTTAAATAGATCCATAGTCTTTTAGCGGTGGTCTTGGCAGTCCTGGGGTAATGATTGGACTGGGTGATCTTAAAGGTCTTTTCCAACCTGGTTGATTCTATGATTCAGGAGGCTGTTAGGTTCTAAACACATGGTCTTGACTTGAAAGGCTGCTGGTTATGAATCTCTGGGTTTAATTTACCCATTGTATTAATTAAAAAATAAAACCCCCAAACCTAACGCTTCAGTCCAATAGCTGAGAATTGATAATTCATCAAACTGAGCTGCATAAAGGAGCAGAGACTCCAGGAAAACTTTTGAAAAGGGCACATTCTTGGATTTGGACTGCTGTGGTTGTTTCTCATGAATAATTTGGGTAAGGGATAAAAACGCTGTGTCCAAGCTGATGATCATCACTGCTGTGCCACAGAACTGGTGAGCAGCAACAAGAATGAGGACACACTGCAAGGTGCAATGCTGTGCTTCTGTTTCGAATGCTAGACCCACAGATCTGTTAACAGCATCTGTCTTCTAAAATTATAGAATCACTGTTGGTCCTAGACATAGTAGAGGCCACATTTGAGATCAGAGAGGCATAGTATGAACAGTAAATGTCAGCTTCTTCCCCAAAGGCATCAGTAAATAGTCATCATAAAATCCAGTGAAGAGCAAAAGATGAAAAGGATAATCGCTCAATAAAAATCTGTTATTAATTCTTCTATCGAGAGGTTACCCTGACAAGATAAAGTAGCAGATACACTCTGCTGTATCTCATGATGGCCTTTCACTTGAGGGTTGTCTAAACCTCTGTCTTAAAGGCCAGACCTCCAGCACTTTAATAACTCTTCAGGAACCTGGCTTTCCCTGGCAAGAAGACTGCATTCTTCCTGCTAGCATTTCTTGTGTACTGACCTGCACTGGGGTTAAATGTACTGGGCTTTGCTGAGCTGCCCTTGAGGTTCTGTTAGGGTTGTGCTCTTGTTCTGCACTGGTCTCTGTAGGTGGAGATGTTAGTGCCAATCCATCAGCCTCTTTCATCTGTGCATCTCATACGTGGAAAATCTTTGCTTCACATAAAGGAGACTGCTAATGATAGAGTAAGTATGGAAACCTGGCTGCTGCATGCACTGGTGTGTTTTTGACAGATGTTACTTTCGTATGGTTTTCATCTGTTTTTAAGCTTGAGAGTAAGGAATTTTGGGTGTGATGACAAAGAAGGTAGAGGAGTTGGCTAACAAAGTGATAGGAGAGTGAAGATAGATGTATGTGGTCTGCAGCATACCTGAGAGGCAGCTGGGTTGCTTCGCATTATTGCAGCTCTTGGACAGATGAATCATCATCTGGAAGTGTCAACAGCCATTTATTTCTTAATTTGTTTGAGAGAAACAATAGTGTGACCTTTAGCGATAAACATTTTTCAACCAGAAAAGGCTGTCCTGATGACAGCAAATCTTAACAGCTGGCAGCAAAAGCTTTGCGAGCTGTGTTTTGGAATTGCTTTGTATTTGAAAAATCACATTGTGCTGGAACAGCTTGCCCTCTGGAATTCTTTTTTGCATGCCTGTAGTATAATACAAATGATCAAAATCCAGCCTTCAGACAAATTTAGGGTTGGATTCCACAGAGGCCACAGTGGTCTGGGAATGGCTGCCTGTCGGTGGGGTGGGTGATACAGTACCGCGGAGGCATCCAGTTTGCTTTGAGGTGCTGACCATGTCACCTCCAGCAATTGTATTTGCTGACACTTGGTTCTTTCTTATGGTGATTCCCTTCTTAGGTTGGATTAAAAGTTCCTTAAAAGAAGCTGCTTTCCAGCATGTGCCATTGGTCACAACAGAGTACATATTGTGGGGCTGTTTTCTACTTTCTCTGATGGTCGATATTACCAACATAGCATTCCTATGAAGACTGCTATAATAGTGTATGCTTTTTTCCTCACTAACTTAGTTGGAATGTCTGTGATAGAAGAACTTTATTCTCCTGGCCACAAGCATTTGAAAACAACTGCAGGGATTTAATGTGCAGAAGAATATAGGTTGTATTGAAGAAGGAGGCACCAATTCAGCAGACTGTTGTTGGACAGTAAGAATGAACCTGCCTGGCATTGCCTGCCTCTTCCTGTATGCTGCTGGGAACTGCTGAAAGACCCACAGACTGACCTCCAGGGATTAACTTGAGCTGTTTGAGAGTGGTCCAGAAGAGTACCTACCCGTCTGGATAGGAAGAAATCAGAATGCAATACGTGTGAAGTACCATGTTAGAATTCTTGATCATAAAAGATGCTTAGCTGTGGCAGTCCTGTGTGGATTTGTGGCTTCACTTTTCATTTCTATAGCTATTCTTTAGTTCCTATCTCAGTTAAATTAAGCTTTTTCATAATGCTGGCTTGCAGAGTACTAATTATATCCCTCTGAGCTTGCTGTTACCAGAATGGCTTTAAGTAAACTGAAATGTGTTTTTCATGTGTATCGGTTTTCTCCTGGGGACTGTCAGATGTGAAATTTGTTTGCTTTTTGATTATTTAATTACCATGCAGCAGAGTGGTTAAGTGGGTTCTATTATATCATAGAAATAGGGGGAGGGGAAGAGAAGTTGAAATGCAGGTCAGTTTGTAAAACTGCAGGTTTCTGTACTGGCTCTAAAGGCATTTTATTACTGATAGCAGGCAACAGACAAAGCAGTTCCTGATTCTTCAGGGTCTGCATCAGTCCATAGACCTACAGTCTGAATCCAGCTGTGAGAAACTGAGCTGTCCTCCTCTAATCTCTGTCTTGTATGAAATAGCTTGTTGGTCTCCATGTAGTTCTTGTGGTCTATGGACACCTCTGTTGTATAAGCTCTCTTTGTGTTTGCATGAATAAACATGCTGTCCTCTGTCTCTTGCTAGATAAATGAATAGCCTTAAGCTAAAGGAACTGAGGGCAGGGGATGGCATGCTTTCTCTTTGCAGGGTGCTTGTCTAAATGTTCTTTGCTTTTCACCTGATATACATAACTGGTAGCTCTGTACAGCAGTGGAACATCTGTATATACTGCTGCTGGGTGAGAGGCAGAAGTCAAACCCTCCTCTCTTGTCTGTTTTGGAG